CCTTTTTTGAGTTTATAAACTTTCTAGCCTAGCCATAGATGCTTTGATAAGAGTTCATTTTATAAGCTTTCATTTCATGATAAATTGAATAAAATCTTTCGATAAAACATCGTTCAATTTGCTAGTAGATTGATAGCGTGTTATTTGTTTCGTTATAATTTTAGTATTCAATGTGGCCCGATAAAAGTTGATGTTATTGTACCTATCCGACAATTAATACAAAAATTAATTAATGAAATATTTACATCTTTCAGGAGCAATTCTATGACAATAGTAAGTTTTTGAAATAAAATTGCATTTATATAAAGTGAAATTATTCTTAAATTTTTGGGAATTATTTTTAGTATAAATCATGAATAAAACACAAAGTGGATTTCTCACTTTTATCTTTTTCAGATATTAATGGTCCTCATAAGTATGCACAAATTTTACCAGATGAACCGAAAATACTAACCCCAGCTATAGTTTCTGTAAGTAGAGCTACAACTTGCTTTCGGGGTTGTTGAAATTATTTTAACTAAGACTTTATAAACAACTTTCGTTTTGTTTTGTTTATATGTTCGTTTGCTGTTTATTATAGATATTTTCATATTCTTGCAGAATCCCAGAATGCCTACTGGAAATGTAAGATATTGCTTCAATCAAAATTTCTGTTTTTTGAAAATTATGCGACAAGATCATTCGTTAAAACAGTGAAGGATTTCTCAATGCAGTTGAGGATATATTTAAGAGGGACTGTCTGTGGTTTTCATTGCGCAATGCTTCGAGAAGCGAAGTAAAATTAAGTGTATTTAAACTTTTAAAGCAACCATTTTACATGATTTATATAAAAAAAAAATAAGAAATTACAGGTTAAAAAACTAATTAAGTTTTTAAATAACCGATTAGTATTTGTCATAATTTATAGTAGTCAACAAAAACAAGAAAAATGAGTTAATTTTGACATTTTGATATGCCCCCTCTTCAAACCAGACGGCAGAATTTTGTGTTTCTTTTAGGGCTGTCACGGTTCCAAAATTTTTCGGGTCGGGTCGGTTCTGTAAATTTTCGGTTCGGTTTCGGGTTTTTCGGGTCGGGTATTTACATCTATTTTAAACCTTAATTTCATGAATTTAACTTGAAAAAACTTTATTTGTTACATTAAATTTACATTGAAAACAAGTCTTAACCATGCGAACGTCTAGACATCGGTGACTTGGCCTACTATTAGCCACAACCTGACCATTCCTGCTCGTTTTGATAATTATCTAATACTTCTGTGACAAGTGTTTTGTCATAGAATGAAGTAGTTGTGATGTTTATTTTTCACTGTTATCGTCATCATTCCTTTGATTTCGACGCCATTTTTTGTATTGAGCAGACTCTAATATATAAACCAGACCCGAACCGAAATCCGGAAAAATGGAACCGGAACCGAACCGAACAACTTGGACCGCGGTTCTCGGTTATTTCGGGTACTCGTGACAGCCCTAGTTTCTTTGTATATAAAGCACAATATAATCATCTAATATTATAATTTGAGCCAAAAATTCTATTGTAGTATTTTTATAATTTGCTTTGAAGTGCGAAAATTAGTCCTTCCCCATATAACCCTATAGTAAATGTACCTGTATTTTGAGACGGTAACTAATAAATACCCAGTCGGAAGATTTTCCCTATATTGGCAGGTACATTGATTTTAACGTAAGTTACGGTATAGAGTTTAAGAGTTTCTCAATTGTAGTTTTCACACAATAAAACTTCAGTCGGCTCTCTTAAATTGTATGGATTTTTTTTTCTTTTATCAAAAGTATTTCATTCCTATGTTGCCGAGATTTAATCTTATAGAGCTCTTAATGTCCTTTGTGTAAGTGTATTAATCTTCAAACAGAATTTTCTTGGTTTTAATTAAGCCCTATCTCAGTTAAAAGAATTTCAAGTGTAAAACAATACGAATCATGAGGAAAATATTGATAATGAAAATAATAAAAAAAAAAATAAAGGATTTATCAGTTTATCTTTTGATCATTTAAGTTTAAAGGCTGGTGTCTATACATTTTAGGGCAACATATTCAATAATTTTCGACTTGGAGTTTCAAATGTAAGTATCATTTTTGAATTTTAATTTGATAAAAAAAATGGTTTATATTATATTATATGCAGTTTATCAAATAACCTACCTGACATTTGTATTACTGCCTGAAGAGTCAATCATGGTTTAAGGGCTTGCAGTGATTGTGTTGCGATTTTTAGATTTTTTTGAAAACCGTTTTGAAAACTCTACATCCTCTTCATATTCGAAAGCTCTACATACTCTTCATATTCTTTAAGTATATATATATATATAATTCCAGCAATCAGGACACACGTATATGACAGCAGAGGTAGAAAGTTCTACTCAACTAAACAAGGTTTTTATATTTTCACTGTTGCACTGTTGTTTGTTTTTTCGATCCCTTTGAATTTAATTGTTTAGTATTCATGTATTTTCAAATATTTTGTTACACAAAGAATGAATTGAAACGACATGGAACCAGAAAGACGATTAACAAGCTTTTCCGGATTATCATCACAATGGTTACGATTGCAGGTCTAGCACTTATGTTTACATTTTTGGCCAATAACCAGAACACGCAGAATTTGATGGAGCAGCTAAATTCAAACATTCCGACTCAAATCGAATCTTTAAAGAGTGGCCAAATTAAAGGTAGATTTTAGTATATATAATTTACTATTGTTGTATGATAAACCTGATGATTTTCTATAGTCAGTTTCTTTTACTTATGTAGCAATAAACTTTATCACCTGCATATAGGGTTTATATATCCCAGTTGATTCGATACGCAAGAGCATGCTCTACGTACGAACAATTTCTAAAAGGAGGTAAGTTATTGACAAATAAGTTGATGACACAAGGATATCAAATATTTCGTTTCAGGTCAACATTTTGCAAATTCTATCGACGATAAAATGACCTTGTTAGCAAATACAATCAATCGTTAAATCGAATGTTAACTGGCCTTTTTCATACAAATTGTAAGTCCATTATTTTCACACTGGATTGTCTACGGATTTTTCAGTTTACCCTATCATGGCGGGTGAAACCGTTCGACAGGGGATGCTTACTCCTCCAAGGCACCTGATCCCACCTCTGATGTATTAGAGATCCGAGTTCCTTTACATTTTCAATGTAAAACTTCTGAATTCTTTTTGAGGCCCCAACGTGGCATACGATGGCCAATGTGGTTTCCTTAAATTTTCATGTACATTTCGTAAAGATACTCGCATATAATTTTCATAAGTTGTGACCCTTTAGTTTCTGTTTAGAGAATTCAGACTTAAGAATATTAAACATTAATTTGGATCAACTTTGAAACAAATTGAATCTATCTTACAGATACCTGTATATTACATAATTAGATATTATAAAATTGAATATTAATTCGAAAAATTAGAGCCAGATCGCCAAGATTTTAAAATCTTTCATTCCTATACATTTCCATGTATAAATATATTTCTTTTGTGTGCCTTTCCCTGTCCCATGGGCATGATTACCAAAAAAACCCATAGATAAACAAATGAACATTACGCAGATCCCTGCATATAAATTGACATTTTTTTACTATTAAACTCTTGAGAATTTTTTTTTTTAAATAAAAGATTTCCCCCAACACATGTACATTTCTTTGACATACTTTCGACTTCAATGAAGTCATGTCATCCACATCAGCGTTGATTTGAACAAATGTGAAATCTATGCTTATGCAATACATCAATGCTAAAACATGTCTGATCATTTTGGTTGTTTTAAAAAGATTTTCAAATAACCAGAGCTATATTCACACATACCCTTCGAAAGGTCATGGCACCTTATTTAGTATACATGCATGGGTTTTGTGGGTATTACGTTGAAATTGACATCGTTCTTGGGGATATTAAAAATTAAAAAGACATTACGCACTTAGACTACATAAGCCGCGAGGCGGACAAAAACAGATGGCAACTGGTCAATTCGAGCGAATTTTACATGTAGTGCGCTAAGATATGAGATACAATTTAGTTATGCCATATACAAGCAAAGCAGGTTTATTGATAAAACAAAGAATTTGACCACCTTGTGTCTGCCAGCCTAAGTAAGGTGATCTATCAAATTCTATTCTGTCCTCCTTTTTGATATTTTTTCGATCGCTAATTTGAAGTAACAGGCTAAAAATTAAAAGATTTAAAAAAAAAAAAAAAAAAAAAAAAACAACAACAACAACAAACTATGTTATACCTGGATGTATGGTTCAAGCTGTATTCCACAATGCAACATTTGGATGCACAAAAACTTCCAAACTTTGGAGATTGGAATATTTAGTTGCCCTTCCTTCTAAACTTTACCCTAAAATCAAATTTTCCCACCAAAAACAAGGTTCTGGCTTAAAAACAAAAATTTGAAAACGCCACACAAACAATTAGAACCTGGGGCGTAAATATGCGTTCCAAGTACGCAAGCATTTCCATATCAATTTAAAAAATGGTAAGAAAAAGGAAAGAAATGAATAACTTTGAATTTAAAAAAGAAGACTTGCAATTTATTTGTTTAAGCGATAAAATTGTTTTTCAACTTTTTTTCGTAGACAATAACAACACATTGACAAAATATATTGAAAATCAACAACAATCAAATGAAAAAACGAGACATTTAATTAATATTACCGAAAAGAATCTAGAAGCAAATTCAAATTTGACAGAAAATATCCTCTCATTATCAATCAAAACCAAAACTTCTCTCCAAGAAATTGGACATTTGATGGAAGCAATGTCCATTGGAATAAATACGTCAATCAATGAAATAGGAACCATGGCGGAAGCATCTTTTAGTCAACTGCAAAATTCCTCGAAGGATATTGTTTACAGCATGGAAGTATTATCTAACCATACTGAAAAGTCATCGATGGACGTGAAGTACCTGTTAAAAGTTCAATCTAACCAAACAAAAACTTCGATCACTGAAATAGAAAACATGGTGGAAGCATCTTTAGACCAATTACAAAATTCCTCGAAGGACATTGTAAACAGCATGGAAGCATTATCTAACCAAACTAAAACGTCATCGACGGACGTTAAGGACATGTTAAAAGAACAATCTAACCAAACCAAAACTTCGATCAATGAAATAGGACACATGGTGGAAACATCTTTTAGCCAATTACAAAATTCCTCGAGGGACATTGTATACAGCATGGAAGCATTATCTAACCATACTAAAACGTCATCAATGGATGTGAAAAATATGCTAAAAGAACAATCTAACCAAACCAAAACTTTTGTAGAAGATATGATGAAAGAACAATCTAACCAAACCAAAACGTTTTTGGAAGATATGATGAAAGAACAATCTAACCAAACCAAAACTTTTTTAGTGGATATGATGAAAGATTTACTTCAAGAACTCAAAAGCGAATTGATAACAGTCATTGAATCGAGAATAGGAGGTATGGTTATTCTTTCTGTAATTAACAATATTAAAACAAGCTTTCTTCATTATTCATCATAGTAATTATTTTTTACTAATCGCCCAGCTTTCTATTTGATCTTCTCCAAATAAATAAAAAATAAAATAAAATATAATAAAATTAAACAAGAGGCCCAAGGGCCTCAATGGTCACCTGAGTATAATACAACAATTTAAAGGATACAAAGAGTATAAAATGAACTGAAAGGTGAAGCTTTGTTGCCCAAAAGCAAGAAAAATAGGGTGATCAGGATTAACAAAATAATTAGTCTTAATATTCATTAAGAGTTCATAAATTAGGTTCTAACCTGTTCCCCATTTATCACTATCACTATACAGTATATTAACAAATTATCAATGCTCCTGTACTATTTTTTAATCTCTTGTTGAAATCTCTTACATTGGCCTCTCTTGGTCTTTGATGAACATATAATAAGACAAGTTATTTTTGTCTCATTTTCATTTATCTACCACTTACAAGTCTACCTGATCATTAAAACCATGAAAGTACTTTTTGTATTATACAATAAAAAACAACAAAAATTCTTGCATGATTCTCTTATTCTATTTACCTTTCAAGTACATTATTTACAGTGATTAATTATCAAAAGTAAATGGCAAAGGGGAATAACTCCTCTCAGTAGAATACAAATTAATAGAGCCCTGGCCAGGACCAGAACACTTGACTAAATGGTCCAGGTGTTCAAAAATCTGGTAAAAATACCCTTCCTTATAAAAACTTTTACTCTGTTTGCCTCAGATATGCCCAGGTGCAGAGAAAATTTTTAAAGAAATAATGCATTTTTACTAAAGATTCACTATATTATCAATAGAGCCCCCCCCCCCCCCCCCCACGAGTAACACCAGAGCCTCTGACCCTGGGGCCATAAGTTTGCTCATCATAACTAAGGAGCAAACAGGATTATTTAATAGAATTAATGCATTTTCACTATATTATCAAGAGCCCCACCCTTACACCAGCACATCTGACCCAGGGGTCATGAAATTCACTACTCTGGAAGAAGCACTCTTGCTCATCATAACTATTCATTTAGCTTCTTTGCTTTTTAACCAGAAGCAGAATAGAATATTTTCGAAAGAAATTTTGCCTTTTCACTTTATATTCAACCCCCCCCCCCCCTTTCACCAGAACCCTTGAATCTGGGGTCATGAAATTCACAATTTTGGAAGAAGCATCCTTGCGTATCATAACTATGTACTTAGTTTGTTTATAGAATACACAGGTACAGGGAAGAAGATTTTCAAAGAAATAATTCACCTTCACTATAGGATCTATATAGCCCCGCCCTAGCACCAGAACCCCTGTCCCCGGGGCCATGAATTTCACAATTTTGGAAGAGGCATCCTTGCTTATCATAACAATGTACTTAGTTTGTTTAAATAATACCCAGGTGCAGAGACGAAGATTTTTAAAGAATTAAAACATTTTCACTTTATAATCAATAGGGCCCCGCCCTAGCACCAGAACCCCTGACCCTGGGGCCATGAATTTCACAATTTTGGTAGATCTAGAGTCACCCTTGCTTATCATAACTATGTATTTAGTTTGTTTCAATAATACCCAGGAGTAGAGAAGAAGATTTTCAAAGAAATAATGCACTTTCACTATATGATCTATAGACCCCGCCCTAGCACCAGAACCCCTAACCCTGGGGCCATGAATTTCACAATATTGGTAGAGGACTCAATGTTTATTATAATCATGCCAACAGTTTGACTGCTTGATGTCCAGTAGTAAAGAAGAAGATTTTTAAAGATTGCATATATTTTGATGGTTTTGACCTCACCCCTCAGGCCCCCCCGGGGGGGGGGCAGGGGCCACGAATTTCACAATTTTTGTTCCCCTTCACCCATAGGTGCAACAAACCAAAATTAGTTGAAATTGGTTCACTGGTTCCAGAGAAGAAGCTGAAAATGTTCAAAAGTTTACGAACGACGGACGACGCACGCAGCACGACGACGGACGAAAAGAGATAGCAATAGGTCACCTGAGTAACTCATGTGACCTAAAAATGAGAAATATATGATTAAGTATCGGTATGATTTTTGTTTTGTTTTCATATTTCAGGTGGCTGTATAAATAACAGTTTAAATGTCACGACTGGGGAATGCGTTGACAGATGTTCGAGAGTCGCTGACGGGGATTACCAGTCATGTGACACTTGTAATGGTTACGTGACGTGTGCTAATAATTATATTTATCCTAGAAATTGTTCTATATCTGCTTTAGAGTGGGATGATAATAAAAAACAATGTGTTTGGCAAAGCGAAACTTGTAATAAATCTGACCACGTAATAATTTAATTATCCTTTTTCACCAAATCACTCAAGATAACCATTCCTACGTCTCCATATTATACAGAAACTAAGGCAGCCAGGCTGTATTACTAATTTATGAGATATACTAAGACATGTATTTACCAGTATTATTAGGTCTATTTTTGAAATTTTTTAATACATGTATAAGCTAAAGTTAACATATTATACGTATACAAGAAATGTATGATAATATATGGCACGAAACGGTAAGTATCATATTAAAAAATTATTTAAAAATCCGTCCATTACGTGATGACATTGTATCATTTACATTTTTATAAAAAAAAAAACTTGTATATATATTAATATTTTTAATGTTGAATAAATAAATTATGTCCACTAACTTTCTCCATTTTTGAAGGATCTTTACTACAAACATACTTCTAAACCTTTTTTCAATCTTGTTTCTCAACACAGTTTACGTAAATTATCTATTGATAAGTATATTTTAAAAATATGAATTAATTTCTGTTTCTGTTTTAAACAAAATATACTTTTCAAAGATATACCTACAGTACATGTGTGTGTATGTGTTTATTTTGGGTGTTAGCATATAAGATTTGGGATTAAAGTCTTCATCCGTTTAATTTACTTGAAAGATGACTATTTACTGGGTTGCACTAGAATTCTAATGAAATGACATTCATAGCTAAAGTGATTGGCAACTTTGAATAAAAAGCTTGTAAACACAACAAAGTAAAACTAGAGTGTTCCAAGAAAAGCATGTGTCGCCTGCTTTAGAGCATCATTAAAGATGTAAATAACTCTAAGAGTTGACGGTTACTTATCTGCTACTAGTATATCATAATTTATGCTATAGCAAGCAAAGAAAAAATTCTCGTATAGAATACTTCAATAAAATATAAAAATGGGACAATTAAATAAAATATGTTTCTCAATTCTCAAGAATAAAATGAACAATGAAAAAAAAATATTAGAAATTAGAATTTATTTGCCATTTTGTTCTCTGTTTATTCAACAATCCCTAGTGAGATTTCGGCCTATCTTAACAGCAATTCTGTGTTTACAACTTTATTTGAAGTGCAATCCATTTTGGGATACCGATCCCGATATATTTTCAAAATATTTAAATTTCATTTTGTGTGGTAACTGTAAAAATTACAGTTTGGATACAGTGTCAAGCACTCATAAACACATGATATATATGCTTGTTATCAATGCTATGCCTCTCAGAATTCAGAAGACAGTTTTTAAATTAACTGTTCGAAGTATTTTTGCAAAGGAGGTCAAAGGTTAAGTGGACTGTCACGCCCGCATTTTTTAATAATATATTATGACAAACAGACGAGTGCACATGCTAAATGGCACAGGCTTTCCCCTCAAATGTCAAAAATATGCTGTATATTGGCTCTAGATGTAAATAATAAATCATTTGTAAAGGTAGGTCAAAAGTCAAGTTCAAAGCTCAAGAGGTCTATAATCAAGCCATAGGGCCAAGCAATATACAGTGTATTTGCAAAATATCAAATGCATATGTCTTCCAGTTCTCGAGATATTAGGTGTGGCAGACGGTCAGCTAGACGGACAGATATACAAACGAGAGATACATTGTGCAGAAGATAACAGTACGAGGTAGTTAAGTTTATTGTTGGGTGCATACATGTATGTCGAAATGATTATCTGTACATTCTTCCACACTGCATTTTTATGTTCGTATTTTTATTACTGAGTGGATTGTCTTTCAGTATATGGTTCCTCATGTCTAAACCTACTATAGACAAGTCCATAACGTCTGAAAATCCTTATGGGGTTAAATCTATATTTAGTTTTTGTAAACAGTCAAATCAAGCTTTAGTAAGTCCTGTTATTGAGGGGTTAACCCCACAATCCAAAAATAAACCTAGAATACAGGAAAATGCGCATAATTAACCTCACACTGTTTTCTCTGGCAAGAACGGACAAACAGACAGACAGACGCCGGGTAAAGTGATCCCTAAGTGTCGTTCTTCTCTGCAGGTGACAGGTGCACAAAAGTGATTGTTGAAACACAGCAACTAGAACCATTGCCTATACGTTATTCTCTGAACGAAAAACTATGAATTATCTAAGGTAATGTACTGTAGATGAATTCCTGTCACACAATGCCAAGATTCAACCACACGACCATTCATTTTAATGAATCTGTTCTAAAGACTCAGCCCCAGCAGTACATGTAATGTGTATTAGGTTGACAGAACAAATATCTGATTATAGTTTCAGAATTTATTTTGTCTGCTCAAGAAATTTTAATGTTTCAAAAGCAAAAGGGATTTATTAATGCACAATCAATAAAGCTCTTTTTGTGTCTTCTTACATTTTCCAATTTCATTACATCTTCTAAATAGTGCTAATCAATTGAAATATAATATAAATTATTACATTAAATTAGTACATTTAATACATATATATATTTCTACGTATAACAATGATTTAGTGTAAAATATTTACATTTATAAATCAACCTCCTCCCCCCCCCCCCCCCCCCGAAAAAAATGGTATAATAGTAAGGAAATAATACGTAATCAAGATATTAAAACATTGAAAGCAAATACAGTTTATGTTATGTTATAATTGTGATAATCCCCCCCCCTCCCTGAACTGCTTAATGAGTTCGTATCATTTAATTATCAAATCACATAATAAAACAATTATTGCTGTTTTTTCAGTCAATACAATGATTTAGCCACCTTGAAGTACAATATTCAATATTGTACCCCAAAGGTGGCTAAATCATCGAATTGGCCTCAAAAACAGTAATAATTGTATAATATATATAACAAAAAAATTATTATATCAGTAGTTCAAGTGATTTCCAATAGTATTATATAAGAAATACCATCCTCTGGAATTTTTCACAAATGCAATGTACCTCTTTCCTGTGAGGAAACCTGTTAAAATTGCAATACTTTGATCAAAAAATCTTTCAATTGGGAAAAATGATATATTAATGAGGAACATGTCGTCTGACCTTTAAAGAATTATTCCAAACAGGTTTCTAGACATTGATTAGCTTAACTGTTAAATTTTTCAAGGGATTTGATTTTCTTTCCTTATGTGTGCAATCGATTTTTTCTGCATATTCTGGAAAAACATGAATGTACATGTTAACATATGAAACTCGTGTATATATATATATAAAAATCTTTCAATTGGGAAAAATGATATATTAATGAGGAACATGTCGTCTGACCTTTAAAGAATTATTCCAAACAGGTTTCTAGACATTGATTAGCTTAACTGTTAAATTTTTCAAGGGATTTGATTTTCTTTCCTTATGTGTGCAATCGATTTTTTCTGCATATTCTGGAAAAACATGAATGTACATGTTAACATATGAAACTCGTGTATATATATATATATATATATATATATATATATATATATATATATATATATATATATATATATATATATATATATATATATATATATATATATATATATATATATATATATAATTCACCTAATGTACAAAGAGTTTAATTTTTATTTATCAATGGAAACTCGTATTAATTTTCAAAACATGACCTTTATAAAGAAAAATCAGTTCTTAGTACTATCCTGAATAGATACACTAATCTTGTGTGTCTGCAGATAAAATTTAACTTTTTGAAGTGTGTGTATGATTAATATCGAGAATTTCAAAATATTCATTACAGCATTTAGACCGATATTGAGTGAAACACGTGTAATTATTTACCGTAAATGACTGAAACAAACAGACTGCATCAGATGATTATAAAAGAAAGAAGAATAATTGAATCGATAATAATATTTTCACATTAGATTCATTTATAAATTAAAAATATTCAAGGGTAAAAAAGTGGGAAAAACGATCAAAAATTAAAAAAAAAAAGAAAAGAAAAGAAAGAAAACGCCCACAGTGCAACTACCTCCTCACCACAACTAACCTCCCCTTAACTAACCCACCCCCACCAACACATCCCTCCTCCAAAAAGTACAGTCTGCCAGGGAGAAAATGTATTGAGATTTTTTTATGCAAAAGTTGTTAAAAATTGGCATGTGGCGTCTGATGATTAAAGGTATTAATTTTTAATGTACAAAGCTTTTATTACATAAACATTATAATTTACATTCAAAATAAAGATCTCAGTTGTATCTTTACCCGGTAAAATAAAAGCGAAAAGGGGGAGCGTGCTATCATATTCAAATGGAATATGACAGAAACGGTGAACCCGTGAGCTCTTCAATGTTACCATTGTTGGATGGTCAATCGATAAATTTTAGAAGTAACGTGATTTCGATTGATTGATTGTATGTTGTTTAACGTCCCTTCGAGGATTTTTCACTCATATAGAGACATCACCATATACCGGTAAAGGGCTTCAAATTTAGACCTTTACTCAGCACTCAGGGCCATAGAGCAGTGAGGGACTTTTATCGTGCCAACGCCTGTCGTGACACGGGGCCTCGGTAAGGTCTCATCCGAAAGACTCGCAACTTTCACTTCAAAGTGCCGATCGCTTGGCGAAGGAACAGTTGCTACCTATTTTTTATCGACTTAGGTCAGTCGCGGCCAAATTGCGAACTCAAGACCTTCCGATCACGGAGCGAGCGCTCTACCGACCGAGCTACCGTAACGGTAACGTGATTTTGAAGCATTTTAGCTATATTTGAAATATTTAATTCATTACTTCATAACCGAATATTCTAACAGAAATCGCAATTTCACAATTACTCAAACAATAGATTTATCTATAAAAGTTACGGTAAACACGTTGTTTATATATAACAAAAGAATATACAGTTTAAGAACAATTTATTACTAAACATTCCATATTGGACATTGGGGACTGACAAAGTTTACAGCTAAACGAAAAACTTTCGGCTAAATAAACACTGAAAAGCATATACACCCCAAGCCAGGGTGAGAAAAAATTTACAGTTTGAATTTGACATATACTGTAAAAAACATGAAATACACACTCTGTAATGAGTGTTAGCATAATCTACACTATAACCAATTATATTCCCCTCAAGAAAACATGGG